AATTCCATTATTGCTACAGTATATAGAAATTCTAATTTCCATGATTTCCGTCGTCAGAGCCGTTCCATGGCTCTGATTTCCACTTTCCATTTGAAACTTGTAATAGCTTACTCGATATCAAAAGTGAGAGTCGTTACTAATGGCATTCCACGTAGGATTATTAGAAAATGATACACGTTGAGCATCAGTGAAGATTCCCACACTATTAGTAGACCTACAGCCATGAAATAGTGTAACAATCGCTATATAGGCCTATATTCGTAATATCTTAATGAATGGACAAATGCAATTATGTCTGATTTCCTACATGAACTACACTATATTCTTTTTTTAAATTGCTTTACTATTTTAGGTTAAAAGCAAGGTGATTCCCAATCCCAGAACGAGATTTTCTTCTGTAATTCTATTTGCATTTATTTATCCGGGGGAGTAGGCCTAAGTCAATCAAATTATGAACCATCTTTACATGAATGTACTGTAATTACAATTCGTTAATTAGTGTCATATTTAAAATAAAAGCGACCTGCTGGATTTAGATTAGTAGAGGGGTATCGGGTGAATGTTAAATACATCCAATGGCTCCTACACTCAGATAGGACCCTACCTGAGACCCTCAGGTTTTGCATTATTTTCACACACATAATTTAAAATTATGGCCTATATAAAATTTAAGCTAATTTGCAAATGAACGCGGTGACAAAATTTATTCGATTCAGCATGTGATTTCTCTAGATTCGAACACACTGAACATAGCATGAGTTACATTTTGTAAAATTCTTTTACTTTTTTCTAAAATTTGCTTGTCACAAAAACAGGATGGGGCCTAAGCTACGTAATTGATTCACACAAAACAATTAAAAAAAAAAAAGAAGAGATAAACAACTCTCATACGGTCAATCACTGCTATATGAAAATTCTCAGATTCAAGACTTACTTGCATAGGTGCCGTAATTAAAATAGTTTGCCTATAAACGGGGTGTGCTAAATTGGTGATAAGTTTATTCAATTCAGTATTTTAACCTGTAGATTCAAGACAAAAATAAATTTCCATATGCGAACGTTTCTATAAAGCCGCAACTTGTAGGCTGGTTGCCCTTCGGACATTTTCCCTAGTAATTTTCCCCCCGAAAATAATATCCCCCCGTGGTCACACCTGCTGCAAATAAGGATTGCTAGTTTTCTACTTTATTTTTTGGTTTTTTTTTAAATAAAAACCTCATTTAACACTTTATTTCAGCCTCAATTTGTTCTTATTTTGTTCTTAATTTTATTAAGCAACTTCAGTCTCAATGCGCTAATAAAATCTTGTTCTTAAAGAAAGTGTGAGTTGATTTGGCGAGTTGATTGGCCGAGCGGTTAAGTCAGGGGCACCGTAACATTCAGCTCGGCGCTGGTTTAAACGGCTCACTCGCAAATTAATGGTTCTGGTGGTGGAACAAGTCTTCTCGGATAAGGACTTTAAACCGTAGCCCAGTGTACACGCATTAGGCTCGTGTGCACTTTAAGAACCCAGTACATTTTTTGAGAAGTGTAGGGTGGGGGGGGGGCACCCCGGTGTCAGTGGTCCATTAAGTCCCCCTGTTGTTTAATGAATATGTTCCCTTACGTTTGTTTAACCATTATTCCTCCATGTTCTCAATAGTGTTATATTTATAATTATTCATAACAAAATAAATAGTAACTAAAAAGAGCAAATGCAAATGAAGTAAGCTTAATGGTTTAATGAATGTAATTCTTATTGCTTTTTTATGTTTGTAAGAATTATTTTAATCCACGTAAATTATAACATAATTTATTGATAATAATGATGATAATAATATTAATAATAATAATAATAATAATAATAATAATAACAATAATAACAATAATAATAATA